CTCTCCTCCTCCTTGTCTTCCTCCCACCTTCCCTCCCTCCCTCCCTCCTCCCTCTTCGCAAGTTCGACTCTGTCCTGTCGTCGCTCTTTGGCATGCGGTTAGCGTTGCGTATCTTGCGGCCGCACTCGCTCACTCTCACTGTCTCACTGTCTCACTGTCTCACTGTCTCTCTCTCTCTCTCATCTCTCTCATCTCTCTCATCTCTTTCTCATCTCTCTCATCTCTCTCTCCTCTCTCTCTCTCTCTCCTCTCTGTCTCTCGTCTTTCCGTCTCTCTTCTCTCTTTTCTCTCGCAGGAGGATCCGGGCAAAGAGCCACATATAAAGGACTCTTCACCCCTGCCTCCAAAAAGAGCGCCGTGTTTTTTCCTGCCTCGCTGCCCTCCACTTTCCCATTCTGGAGCGCTAGCTTTCGCCCCCCCTTGGCCTCAAGTCATAGAATATGACAGCAGCGGTTTTTAATACATGTTGAGTGGGGATCTACTTTTACTATCTATTTGGGGTTCTAGAATCAAACAAACTTGGGGCTGGGACAGCAGATGGATATTATTTGCTGGGTTGGACTGGAGATGGTCAGGGCCCGCAGCTTGAAACCCTTTTGGGGGGGCATTCACCCTGTGCAGAACAGGGTATCCCACTCAGAGCAGCTGATCTAGAGCTGGTTTTTTCGGTTTCTCCTGTTGCTGGCTGACCTTGTCTAGGCTGGAAAACCTCTTGGCGAAGGCCAAAGCCGAGAAGGTTGTCCTGGCATGGATTGACACCTCAGCTGAGCTTGGGCCTTAAACCTGTTCCAGGTTTACATGAGTACTCAAGCAGCCTTTCGATGTTCTCCTGCTCCCAGTGGAACTGCCTCAATGATCGCTGCGTCGATCTGCGTCGTGGTCGCGCAGAGCCGGATCGAGCTGCGTCGAAGCAGCCTTTCGCTGGTGGCGGCTGTTCGCTTGCGGGTCCAACAGTGCCGACAGCCCAGGACCTCAGGCCTCAGGATGGGTTCTTCCACACTATGTCACATCATCCACCACACTATAGGCCTACTTGTAGGCCTATAGCATCACCTCACCATCTACCTGTGGTCAAAGGTCCGGTGAGATTCCCAACGTCGTTGTCGGTCCTTGCAACGTAGCCGCGAAGGATCATGCCACAACACCTATCACGGCAGGACACACAGCCAACCTGTCGCATCAATTTCAGCGAACCTGATCGCCTCGAGCATCTCTCGGCCACTTTGGGAACAAAACAACGCCACAAACTCGGTGTAGCAGCTCACCTGGCTCACCCCGTCACCGAGCCGCTCCGTCGCCATGGATGCGTGGCGCCGCGGCGCCGCGGCGCTCGCCCGGCGCCTGACGGCGCCGGACGCGGCGCGGCCGCAGAGCCTGGGAGCCTTGGGAGCCTTGGGCGAAGATGAAGAAAGCGGTGAATCGCATGGGCTGGTTGGGGATGGGAGGGATGCTGGGTGAAGAGTGGATGCTGAGTGGCAGGTGGGTGATGGAAAAGTCACGCCAGACTTGTCAGACCATCTTTCTGATTCTGATAGGGCTGATAGAGGCCCATGACACAAGGGCAGAGGTAACGCGTTTTGCCTCTTCCAGCCCAGCTCCTTAAACTCGAGAATCTCCAGGTACCAACACAACACTAGTGCAATTCATATGGGCTCTGCCTTATTTTGCTGTACTATTCCGCGTCAGGGCAACCTCCAGGAATAATTGTCAGAATAATTGCCACTAAATCATCAATCTGCAGGTGTCCTCAAGGTGTGGGTCGGAGGTACACAATAAAAAACACAGTATAAAGTAAATGTAAGAGGACACAGAAAAATAGAGTCAGAAGCACGCACTACGAAGCATTAAGAATCAGAAGCTCAGTGAATAGAGTCAAGATGTGTGAAGTTGTGCGTATTTTATTCCATTGTGTGTGAGATGTCGCACTTCACAAGATAATTTCCACAGTTGTTGGCGCAAAAGTTATTTCATTGCACGCCACCCAGGCAAACACCGAAGAATAATTTACTCCCAGGAGTCACAAGGGGTGCTTATATAATGGAGGTTAGGGGTACCCATTAGTGACCAAACACCGCCCCTTTGTGACTCCTAGAATTGTTTCTCTTTTAAATCCTCCATATATGTGTTCATATTACTTCTTCGGCACTCCATGATTTTCTTGATAATCAATCTTATTAACCCCAAAAAGAGATATCAAGAGTTTGCTCAATTATTGCAATGCTTCTGCCTTGGTCCAGTTTGCTCCAACCTAGTCCATATGCAGAATAAATATGACCCAGTTGTGGTCAACCACACGGACCACGCGTGATTAGCAAAAGAAAACATTTGTACCACACACATGTTCACACCACATGGTGGGGCTCATCATCACTGTGGACGGGAGGGTGAAAATGTACATTTTACTAGGTCCCCCTCCACTTGAGGTAGGGATGATACAACAAGGGCCATCCCCATCTCCTGTGCCAGGTTCCTACCACCCACGTCCCATGAACTTCGCCAGAATCCATCATCCGTCAGCTTGCGAGGGTTTCTTGTTCGATATGCACCCGGTAAGTTCAAACAGAAAACCTGAACACCAACTGGCTGGTTTTTGGGAGGAAAGAAGTCAATTAGTCTTTGAGTGGTCCATGTTTCAGGTTTCTATTTTGCACGGCTGTAGGTTGCCATTGGTTCTTCAGGACCGGCTGCCACCGGAATCCCAGCCGTCATCCAAGGGTTTGACGTGCTCGACACAGGTCGCGCGTTCGTCATCCTTGGCGTTCGTCATCCCAAAGCGTCACTGGATGTTCGTTTTTCATCTTTCTTGACCTACCGTGAATCTTGATTGAACATATTTAAAAAGGTAGGATAGCAGACGTACTTGATCATACAGTATGAATCATACATTGTATATATATATATATATGAGCTTTTTGGGCCTAAGTGTTGTGAAACTAGACCCAAAGACCCTGTCAGAAACATCAACATGCCACAGCAACTGGTCAAGCTTCGGGTGTTCTTCCAGGTCTTCGGAGCTTCGCAGTCTGGGGCTTCCCTCCGCGGCTGGTGACCCCGAACTTTGGAGGGCCGCACATGCACCCGAACCGCCTGCGCGGCTACCCCAACCCCATCAAGAGGAACCCGGACAAGGCGCAAGAGATGAAAAAGCGTGGGATGGGGGGGAAGAGAGATGAAGGGAGCAAGGGAGCTGCTCTTGAGCACATGGGATTCGTTTCAGGATGGAAAGCACAGACCTCTGGTGTGTTAGGCCATGTGCACCCACATTCCCCCCCCCACCCCAAAAAGATTCTGCAGCACTTTGGACTTTCCTTCCCGCTGTTCAACTTTCAGTTTCCCTTTTGTCGCCTGCGCCTGCACGTCTGGTGGGACTTTCAAGGGGTCCACCTCGCCAGGTGCGGCGGCTGCCCAACGTGAAGCTGAAGCGCTTCGACTACAGTCTCACCACCTCAGCGGATGGCTTGTTCTACCTGAGGCCCCCCTACCCGCCCCGCATCAATCGGACCATTGAGTGCGAGCCGCCGGGGAAAGCGAAGAAGAACCCCTGGCCCACCACCGTGCACAAGGATTACAAGCTGAAGCTGGGCTGAGAGCAGATGACAGCGGAGGTCTGATGTGCAGTTGGACCAAGTGTGGAAGATGCACTGGTAGCCAAGAGACCCTCCACTATAGGTGCCTTCATGTTTGCACTTGAAAAGTGCGTATTGTACCAGGACCCACAAGGGGTGGTTAATGGACACCCCTTAACCTCTAAGGAACTATAAATGGAACCCCCTTAGGGTGTCCTGGTATGTGTATTGTTTTTGCATACTTTCATGATACATATGTTAATGTCTAATTGAATCGGATACCGGGAGCAGAGGCCAATCTGCATCACGACGCAAGGATCGATTTGTCTGGAAGTGGATGGCATGGCCCCAGGGGTGAACTCCTGTCATGTGATGTGTTCGTTGGAAGAGAGACTTGGTTCGGACTCATCTAGTCAGGGATATCGTACAGGTGACGTATCTCGTCACGGCTCACTCCGTGCATGGAGCTGAGCGACCCCAGCGAAATACCGATTTAGCCTCTCGGGACAAGTAGAGTGCTAAAGCACTCTACTTCAGGTGGTCATGGTCGAAACACAGATGTGCGTGATTTGGACTGCCATCTGACACCACCGACCCACCAAGATCACACCCGCCCCTTCTCGACCGGCCTTCGAAGAGTTGAAATCGGGCCCCAGGAAGTGGAAGAACATCGAGTACATCTTCGTCCCGGAGCTAACCCGCAAGCCTCATGGCACGCCGCAGCGCCGCTGGACGGGGCCGGTGACGCGTGTGGAGCACCGCGAGGGGAAGGCCAAGGTCACCATGGTGACGCACGACGCGCGGCTCCTGGACTGGTGAACTGGCCCCGACTGACAGGGTCCAAAAAGATACGGCTGAACTTGCGCCGTGGCGTCGTATTTACCGCGGGGGGGCGCATGGGGCGCCACATCTGGGCGTCACCAACCAACGCCGGTGGGAGCGGCGTTTTGGTTGGAGGTTATGGTATATACGTATGTTATAGTTGCCGAAAACGTGTCTAATTCTGGACAAACATCCCATCTAGTATCTTCGCGTGGAGCAGTCCCATCTAGGACCCAAGAACCGCCCAGACCGCCCAGACCGTGGACATCATCGGACCTGCCGGCTTTTGGTCCATCGCGCCAGGATGAGATCCTGCACGATTGTGCATATGTCCAACACGAGATCGACCGAGTCCGTGCTGAAAAGTGCCTGGGATGGGACAGACCCGGTTCGGTGACGGGACGTCGGGAGGTCGGGAGTCCGGATTGGAACCGGTGGACTGAGGGGGCGAAAAAAGACGGTGCTGTTCAAAGGTCACAGCATGCTGCTCCAGGGAGCTTGCAGTTTTACATGTTACCTTCGACATAGAGTTTAACATATAGTTTTGACCCACGTTCGGGGAAGTGGACGATTTCGGTGTCCGGTGTCCTTTCTGACCCTCTTCGATCTGGTGATCCGCTCGCGAACCTCTCGAGGTCCAAAACCGTCGACGACCGAAATAAGATGGAGGAGGTCGCCAGGGCCACCGCAGCTCCTTGGGCTGCGATGTTCCCGGCAGAGCGGTGGCGATCGAAGGGCACAGCAGACATCACGGAAACAGCAGGAGGGCCCCAAAGCAAGGGGTTTTGGTCATTTCTGGATATGTTTGGTCCATGTTCCTTCTTTCAGGTGATCGAACTGGGAGGTCTTCGTAATTTAATATACATTCACCGGTTTCACTTGGCAAGTCTGGGGTGGATGGGGGGCGAGGCACTCCTGCCCTTGCAGCAAAAAGTCCAGAGTTTGCTTGCCACTTTGGTTTTGGGTGACGTCCGTGACGATTGCGCGAACACTTGGAACTTGGAGCTCTGTCTAATTTTGGGGTAGCAAGTAGCTGCAAATATATAATGTGCGCGGTGCGCATTGTAGACCTTACATGATACAACGAGTTTTGTCCTTCGGGCTCCGCAGCAGCAGGTCTCCAAGAGGCAAGGCAGCGGGTCTCCACTCCAAAACGCTGTGGAAACGGAGGTTGGCCGCTGCTGGTGCAAAAACTGAAAGCAAGAGGCCAACCTCCGTTGGAGACACTGACGGGTACAGCCTACTGATACCTCATGTCGTCATGTGCAGTCAGGACCGGTTACGTGCAGACATCCGTGATGCCCTGACAATGAAGGCCGACTCGGTTCCTTGGATGAAGTTCATTGGCTCTACCAGGGACACCTGAACATGTGCACATACTTTGTGTTCAACCTAGGAGCTGGCTCGTGAGAAATAGTTTGTGATGCCCTTTTAACATAAGATTGGCCTTTGCATTGACACCCCGCCAGGGCAAGGCTACTGTTCATGGAATCTGAAACATATTTAGTACAAATAAATGCACAGGGCACAGGCCATGTATGTTTTGCTGGTCCGGGAGTCCGGTGTGAGCTACGCGTTGCAGCAAAGATGTAAGAACGGCCTTGATAGAAAGCATTGTGTGTGGGATTTCGCCTCCTGAAGGCGGAAAGGCATGGAATTTCGCATGAAAGAGTGTTGTTTGGAACATTCATCCTTCGAAGTGCCCCAGTCGTGATCGGTCATGTTGGTGTGATATGGTGTGATTGATAGCTCCATATGTGTTTGTGGTATACAGGAAATGGTCTATACGCAAAAGATGTGCATACCAAAGCCCTTTTAAGAGCCATGAATGGACTATATAAGTGACGAAGCAATCCCACAGATTTCTCTTACACTCTTAGACCACCAAACGAAAGGTCAAGACACCGGAGGTACTTGACCTAGAATTTTGCTTCCGACCCCCTTGCCCTGTTTTGCTGCTCAGGAGACGCAGATCTACAAGACCAAGAGGTGCGAAGAAAAGCCATCAAGCTCCAGGAAAAACTTTCAATAGGGAAATGCATCTCCCAATTTGTGCCCAGAGATTCAAAGTGAACTGCTTATGTATATATATATATACACTCACCATACGGGGTGGGTTTACACTTCGCTTGTGCATACAAATCACATCAAATCACCCAATGATTGAGATGGAAAGCGACGTTGCAGCGCTTTGATGGGCTTCAGGTGATTTCATGACAGTTCGCCAAGCATCGTTTTCTGCGGCTTTCTACATGAGACTAACCATGTTCGCGACATGAGCACCTATGTTGATCCATCAACGTACATGGAGCCCCCCTTTGAATGCAAAGTACAGTACATCAAAGCACTATGTGGAGCTGCTCGGGCTTGACTATGCAATCTACAGTAAATGGTTGATGGTGTGCATGTTCGCAGGTAGACGATCTAGATATCAAGGTGGGATGAAGCCAGAGGCGATGCTGAACATTGACCGCCCCTACGCATCCCCATGCAGGCGGCAGCAGGAGCAGGAGGAAGAGAATGCTCGGCTAAGGACCGACAGGTTCTACAGGGACTCTGGAGAAGTTGCATCTCCGGCCACCGGTCATTTTGAAGGCTGGTCAAGCTGGTCTTCAGATGGTTTTCATCAGCTTTCATTGTGAAGCTCTTGCAGGACCTACCTCAGCAAATGCAAAGAGGACTTAGACCGCGCCTTGCGATAGAGGCCGGGCTTCCTGAGGGCTGCGAAACGACATGTTGATCTCTTCATGATGAGGTTGAGCCATATACGATGCCATATTCATCCATACTTACCCAGAACCTGAATGACCTCTATTTTGGACCACCCACCACTCAAAATACCCTCCCTCAAACAATCATGGAAGCTGCGCAGGCCTCACTTGTAGAGGAAAATAGTCTTCCAGGGGCCTATGTTCCACTTCCATGATTGTTTCAGGGAGTGTATGGCCTTTTCCTTTTAAAGCAGGGGTCAATTGGGTTCCAGGTATAGAGTTCGCGGTTTTTGTTTGGTCTAAGTCTGCTGAGAGTTACCCATCCATGCACCTCGCTGGGTCTCCCAGAAAAGAAGTATTTGCGATTTTGCTCCCTGACACACCAGGCTGGACGCATCAAAGGGATTGTTTCACAGAGCTGGACGCATCGAGGGCTCAAAGATTGGGCTTACTAAGCAGGAGCCTCAGAAATTTGATTAACGTATAGAAAAAGAACAGGAGTACATCAGATTAAAAACTGCCCTATGTTTGTAAAACATCGATTGCGACTGGCTAAGGCAGTTCTGTTTTTTTTTTGTGCTACTTGGAGTTTCCGAAAGAATTATTGTCGCTGACTGTCCAGCTTTATACTAAGAACGCAGATTGTGACGTGTTTTGGGGTCAGCTGGGTCAGCTGGGCAGAAGCTTGCAACCCAACAGGAGGCTCCTCGCAAAGCCCCCGTCATGGCTATCGGAATCGATGCCTTGATGGGCGACTTTGATGTGCGAATTGATGCACCCAGGAAATAAAACGAAATGTGCTTTGCTGCCAAGAACTGTTTGTGCTAGACAGTGCAACCAGTGAACCATAGGATGCCAGGCTAAGGTTGCAGTTAGATACCTCGAGATGACCAACATTGCTGGTCGTGTCCACCCGGCTCTCTGCGAAAGCAGTCCATTGACCGGTGGAACAATCGCGTTGGCCTTGCTTCGCTTATGGCTCGAACGGGCAGCTGTAGACCAAATGGCACAGCGGTTGACACAAGTGACGCAAGTGAAACCAGCCGAGTGGCACAGTGTGCAGCACGGAGAGCATCAGAAACTTCAGGACTGACATGTAGGTGTTGCAGCAACTTTGATCAAAAAGGCAAGGTCAATAGAGGGGGGGGTGTTTCCAGGCACAAAGTCCCCATGAGTCACTGAGCTGTCCCAGCCGTGCCACAGCCATGAACGCTATACTTTCTGCATGGGGAAGGCTCGGGGAACGGTAGGAAAACACACGGAACGGGTCTTTCTTTGGCGCCACAACACATGGCACAAAACAGGCACTCCATCGAGCCCATCCCATCCCCTCCATCGAGCCTCAGCACCGGTTTGGTGAATCAGTTTGGACACCTCGTCGTTGACGGATTCATTTCATGCTCCAAACCCCATGTCAGTCTCAACTTGCTCAATGTGTACCATGATCAGTCTTTTGTCACCATATCGCTATAGCAGCTCTGTCACCATATCGCTCGCTCGCTCGTGTCTCCCGGCGCAGGTGAAGAAAACCCATTTGAAGAACAAGCACCTCGCCCAACTGACGTCCTCGCCGGTTCTCTCGACCGACGTGGGGCGACCGAGCGGCCCGAACGCTTGCGCCCAGGAAGGCCAAAGCAAAAGCCCAGGCGACCGTGGTGGGCGTGGCCAACGGCGACCTGGTGGGCGTAGCTCAAAGAAGCGTGATGTTTTATAGACTGACCGGGGTCGGAGTGAGTTTCAGGGGGCGGCCCGTTTCATACCATTCAGCTCGGCCCATGCTTGGGGGAGCTTGACCCTCCTTTGGGTACAGGGTACAGATACCGGTGGCTGTGGCTCAATGGCGTCGAACAAGGACTGGTTGAACCCTTAGGAGCCAGCCTTCCAGGAGGATTCACAAGGAGTTGTCATTCATTTGATGTGAATTTGATGGAAAATGGAATTTCAGTTTTAATTAGAAGAAGTTTGACTACTGGATCTGGCTTGCGCACACATGAGACAAGCAGAAGCCGTCCAAAGTAAGACCCACGGCTACTGACGCGCCGTAGGGGAAGAAGACCGAAGCCGATGGCGACGAGGTTTTGGATGCGGGGGAGACCAGCCATGAGCTGAAGAGGAGATTGGGCGGACGGTTTTCTCGCACGGGCATGGACGGTTTCGCCATAGATGAGAGCATCTGCTCTATGTTGTTCATGTGTGGTGGTGGTTTGGGTCCACACACTTGGTGGGTTGTGTTTACCTGGGAGTAAGCTACTGTGCGGATGCATGTGATACCGATGACATGTAGCTTTTCGACGGCTTCGGCCTGCCCTTCATCTTTCGTGGACGGGGTGGAGGGTCCACCTGGAGTGTCCACATGGAACATGGAATGAAGGAACAGGTTCTTGGGGGACAAGACCTACTCCCAGAAAGGAAGATGATGCTATATGATGCTCTTCATTTTAATGTATATAATATAAGTAGCTCAGTATATATCGAGTCATTGAGAAACACCCGGATGCAGCGGCCGAGGCGGCATGCAGCGGAGCGCAAGGCTTTGCAGGTCTGGTTGGGGGCGGAAGTTCTGGGGGATGCGCAGCTGGTTGGTTGAGGCATCGTCCAGGGTCCCGATGTCGATTGGAACAATGAGATCGACCACTTGGCCGCCTGGCTCACTACGGAGGTTTGAAGCAATTGGCACCCAAGCCCAGAGGTGCTTGAGGATCCTCAATCCTCGTTTTAAAGGGGGTCGACTTGAGGCTTGCACCCGCATATATGTGACCTTACTGTATATGTATATCATTATATATGATTCTATAATATTATATATATATACATGATTTAAATAAATATATACTATTTTGTATATAAATATATACATATTAGAGATCACCATTTATACTTTATACAAACATGCATGTCCATGAGGCCGGGGAGTTGGTCCAACAGCACTGGCTCCAGGTGCAGGTCAACACCGGAAACCGTTTCTTTCTTTGTTTCGGTGCAGGCCAAGATCGTGGAGCTGAAGCGGCAACGCAAGAAGCTGCCCAAGAAAAAGAACAAGGACGACAAGAAGGAACTTTGGCAGAAGACACTCCAGACTCCAGACCTGCTGGGCTTGTATTGTTCGATGATTCATCACCTAGGTCGGCGTTTTAGAGCGGCAGGTAGCCTTTATCTCTTGAAATTCTTTTTTCAGGACGAAGGAGGTTCGAACAGGTCTGAACGAACAAACCCTGCTTTGAACAAACAGGATTCACTGTTTTCTGGCCTGGCTTCAGTGGGAGGAATCCGGCTTGTCAGTCACCATTTGTCGACGAACACATCGGGAACCATCGGTCGGGAACCATCGGTCGGGAACCATCGGCGCTTTTCTTCGGCAGCGGATGAAAGCGGACTGGACCTGGCATGTGTGGGTCATGAAAGCATCTTCCCAAACACGAGCATTCTAATTGTGTTGATCTAAGATATCTAAGATTGCATGTGTCTTTAATTTACGATTATTGTGTGTAATTAATATGCTAGTATCAAAGATTTTTTTTTTCATTTGCTCGTTTTCATAAAATAGATTTTCGATCCGTTTGGATCACCGGTCATCCCACGCACATCGCCGACATCAGATCGGACATCGTAAAAACTCGCCGAGCAGCCGAACAATTCCTCCGGTCACGGTGGCCTCAGGCCTTGACGGAAGAGATGAAAAAACTCAAGAGTCACTTGGTCGCCACAGCGGGAATTTTTTGGTGTTCAGGGTCTGGCGTGAGGTATGGAGCTTGGGTAGGAGTGCGTTCAGCTTTGTGAGGCGAAATGAAGCTGGAGCACCAGGACATCCAGAACATCATCAAAACCAAGGGATCCCATTGCAAAAGCATGCACAAGTCATATTTATGTAAATCGCGCCATTCCTAGAGTACAATGCTCCGAATCGCCATTTCCTCAGAAATACCTTTCCCGCGACATCTGCTGAACCCTCAAAGATTCGTTGGAGAAAGTCGTCCTAAAATCCTTGAACATGTGCATGCCTTTCTTGTAGAACCAACCCACCTGATGAATTGCTGTGGTCAGATGAGCTACGGCAAAGACATGATGATGAACTGCAGAAGGCTGGTGTCCAAGTGGAAGAGGACAGGGATTTTGAAGAAGATAAATACATAAGGATATCCGACATTCTAATAGAATTTAGAAATAAACGTAAAAATCATTTAAGAATTTAAGAAATCCGAAAATTTAAAAAATTAAGAAATGAAAAAAAAACAAAAAACTTCAATTAAATATAGATTTAATATTTTGTTTGATTTTTTGGATTTTTGGGAATGCTTCCATCAATTAATTATTACATCTCCACCTAAAAATAAAAATCACGTATGAAATTTCTATTATACTATCCAATGGCAAAAATTTAATTGAAAATTAGGCATTATCTTCTTTCTAAATACCTTTTTTACTTTGCAAAGAATTCTTTATGAGAGATTTTGTGATTTTAAGATAATTTGCTCTACTAATTGCGTAGTACTTTATATTCGTCAATAAGAATGCTATAGCTTTGCTATCTGGGGAAGATAAAATTGATGATAATGTAATTTTATGATATTTAGAAATTTATGTTCGATAATTGGCGTGGTTGATATTATTATTGAAAATAATAATTGCGATATATTGTATATATCTTGATTCAATGGTAAACATATTTATTCATTTAATTATGAATTATAGAAATGATTAAATGCATAAGTTAGATATTTATCAAATAATCCCTATGCAAAATTATATTTTTTTCTTTTAAATTGGGATTTGTATTATTTTATTAAATGCACTTGGATAAATACATTAAAATTAGAAGGCAAATAATTATAAATCCTAAATAACTAAATTCTATTTTAATTTTAATTCAAATTTAAATTTATATGTAAATTTAGGATTAATTCTAATTTATTTATATTTTAATTTTATTTTGCTTTAAATTTCTTTTATTGGAATTTAATATAAACTAATTATAATTCGATTTTATCTTTAATTTTATTATTATATAATTTAAATTTAATTTTAATATTTTATTCGTAACTAAAAATTTAAATTTTATGAAATTCGTATTTATTTCTAGGGAATTGATTTTGTTTTGAATATAAAATATTTTTATGATATTTTTCCAATATGGAAATATATTCTTGGTTTAATGAAATATATTTATACCTCCAATAATATTCATTTTCTAGAATGGAAGCAAAATTCAAGTAGAAATTCTATTTGCATTAAATTGGAATCAAATTAGAAAATTAGATATATATATTAATTGAATTTAAATTATATAAAGACGGTAATATTAGAAATCTTTAATAAATTAATTGGAAATTGGAATAGACAAAATTGCAAATTTTAATATAAAATAAAATGAAATAGAATTAAATGAGAAATAAATTTGAATTAAATTAGAATTGAATGAATAATATTATATCAAAATCCATTATTTAACTTGAAATTGACCTAGACCTAAGGTAGAATTGAATTAAAGATATTTAACCTAGGAATTGACTAATAGAACAATATTATTATAAAATTAGGTTACAAATAATTCAATGTAATGAAAATAAGCTGAAAAAATAACCAAAACACATTATAACATATGCAAAAAAGCGTACCCCCATAACGTCCCGCTCTCTAAAATTATGTAAAATATATTTCGTCGATATTTATTTTATATATACATATTATTTGTATATTTATGTTTTAAAAATGATAGAATGATATTATAATTCAGAAATAACTATATATATTTTGTTTTATATGCATATGGTTTATTTGATTTAAATATCCTATTATATAAGGAAAAGAAGTGCACTTTCCGTAATATATGGTTGGGAGATATGGATATTTATTTTGATTTCCGAGTAAAATGCGAACAATTATCTTTCGGGGCTTTGGGAGGAAATGCGTCACAATTTATTTGGATTAATTAATGACGCGAATTCCGTTAAGACAGATAATGGGATTACCGTGCCATCAATTTCATAATCTTCTTCAGGCAATGAAAAAAATCGATCCATTGGAAGCGACCTCATTTAAATCTTATGTAACAACAGGTAATCAAGGAAGGGTTATGAAGAGATTTACGAGATCCCGATTGACGGTCGCCGAGGACCGATTTTGAATTTTATCCATGACTTGATTCGGTTTGAGATGGATCTGAAAAAGAAGACTTTCCTCCCCTATCAATGTCACGAATGCACATTAGTAGATTTGACCTGATTTCATGTTTTCCAACCGCTGTTGGGCTTACGAGGGCCCTTGATCTCCAATCGACCACTACGCCTTTCGCAGAAACGTGCTTTCTTTGTGACCGACGGGATCGAGACTTCGAGGGCTTGTCATCCCCTACAACGAGAGGAAGAATTTAGATCAATAAGAATATCTATCAATACTTGAACGACGAATATATTTATTCACCTACAAGAAATGATACAAGAGGATGAAGGAGCATAAGGATTGAGGAACTCGAAAGGAAGCTCAGATTCGCGGAATCAATGGCCGATCACATCTACACGAGATATGCACAAATCGCTGATGAACATCATGAGGAACATTCTCAATTTGACGAAATGAAGATCAAGATGGAAGATATGACCAGTGAGATGCAGAGTGCATTCGGGTGCATCTAAGAACAGAATCAAATCTCAGGCACCTACAGCAGACGAGCTCAACATCTATCTGAAGAAAACAAGGCGATGATGACGGTTGCCGATGAACTACAGACGAGATTGTTGATGTTGCAACACGAGCATAGCAATTTGCTGGAGGTAACTCAAGAGGAGAGAGAGATACAATGCAGAATTGAAATGCAATTCATGGTGCTAGCCAATGAGGCATCTGAAAGCATTGATCAATAATACCAAGAGAAGAGGATGGTCAATTGGCACTCGTCAAAGGATCTGAAATGAACATGATGGCCGAATTGGGCGATCGTGGCTTGGAACAAAAGACAGAGATTCAAATATACAAATTGGAGATCAACGGAAGGAACTACGAACGCAACATCTTCAATACGAAGCAAGGATGATGGCAGAAACTACAAAGACGTTGAAAGAAATTGCCAACAATTTGCACGTGCGATACAAGAAGAACAACGCCAATTGAGGGAAGCTAACGCATCCCTCATTGAAACGAATAAGGTATTGAAGAGAGAAAACCTGATTGGAACATCATCAATTGATGGAAAAGAGAGGATAATCCTTGAAGAAATCAAGGAATTCGAGAAGAATCAGAAGATCACTGAAGGCAAACTCACAGAGGCAAGGTCGGAAAACACAAGATTGAAGGCAGAAATGCACTATACATTCCCCAAAGACGAGAGATGAGAAGAACGAGAGTCATGCACTACTCGACACGATGAATCAGAAATGTAATGGCGAAGGAAGAACCTATTGCATAAAGAGAATGAAGCAGGTAGCTTAAGGAAATCAAATGACGAAATGCATGAATGATAACTAGATACATATAATTATTATGAGGAAGAAATCGAAGAGACGGAAATAATCGAACAAGAGAACATTGAACTCAAGAACAGGCTCTCCGAAACTGCATCAACTTCTTCCTCTTCCCCAACATATGCGACAAAGGTCTCTAGGAAAGAAAAATCCAAAGTGAACCACCATGGCCGAAGATCAATAATCTTGGGTTGGGGAAAGCCAATCTGATATAGGCAATAGTCATCGTTGCAAATGATTCGGATCAATTGCCATGGATTGATTGGATCAAGGAAACAATCGATGATCTTGATCCCGACAGGCTTATGGACTCAGGTGATACAAAATTCCATTCTTTTGATGAAAAATTAGGATTTGCATTGACCAAAATTATTCAAGACTCCAAGGAAGAAGGAAACAATGTGGCTATGAAATTGAGGACAAGAATCAATGCAAAGGGAAGAAATTCTATTCTCATCAAAGGAAGAGAAATCCTCGCACTAATACTACCCAATTTCAAGACGACATCCAAGGTTGAAGTACTGTACACATCAATGCATCTGTATCAATTTGAATATCAAGGCGACAGGAATTTATCATGGGACGAGATCCTGGCCGGAATGAAACCAGCCGACATCCCCAATGATAATACACTTCGCGATCTATAATTCAGGAAGGTGAAGAACTCAAATTTGATGTCCTATGACATTCATATGTACAACAATCTCAACGAAGGAGATCGCAAGAAATCATATCAAATAATTCGTGATATGATCCGAAGGCACATCGAAACACAAACCGAAAACAAAATGCTCTTGGAGAAGGACCAATATATTTCAGAATCTCAAACCAGGTGGCCCTGCACCCAAAACCAAGGCCACACCTGCTCCGAATGAATCGAAGAAACCAAAACCCAAACCGAGAAACTGAGGAAGCTGAAACTGAGGAAACGATGATTGAGGAAGAAATTGAGGAGTTGATGCCTGTCAAACCAACCCCCAATCCAAAGAGATATCTAGAAGATAAGAAAGGCAAGGAAAAGGGAATGGAAAAGACAGAGGAAAGAACCCCAATGTTGACAAGAAGAATATCCCATGCAAATTCTTTGCATAAGGGAAATATAATAATGGAAAGGGATGCCCTTTCAATCACAAGAAAATGAAGATTCCATCTAGAAGTACATCCCCCAAAGGGGAAGGAAAGATTCCATATTGGAATTGGATTCGAGGGAATTATTGCAAAGGGAAGGATTGCAAATTTCAGCATGATCCCAAGGTAATGCCCAAGAAAGGAGCTTCTGCGACAATAAATTCAGGAGAGCACAAGCCCAAATCGAAACCCCTTCCGAAGCCGAAACCTAAAGGGAAACCAGGTGCACCCGCAATGGGAGATTCGTTCATCTTGGAAGAACCAGATGATGAAGGAATTGCAATAAATATGAGGACGAATACTAATAAGAAGAAGAAGGTATCATTTAGTATTAATATCATATTCAATAAAATTATATATTCCACTCACTTAATCTGAATTCTGCGCATTTTCAAGAATACTTCATTTTACATATAATACAATATTCAATTAATTCGAAAAATAAATTTAAAAATATTATATATAACTAGATATTCTTTAAAATATTCTTTATATATTCATTTGATATTTATATTATATGATATTTATTTTAACAAATATATATCAATCATTATTTCAAAAAAAGAATTGAAACATATAATATATTTGATTCATGAATATATATATATATATTCATTTGAATCAGGAAGAATAAATAGGCCCAAAAATATCGCAAAATCCCATATTCCTATCATCCGGCATTTAATATATATATATATATCGAATAAACATTCAAGGCACCGAAATCCTTCGCTTGCTTGTCGCCAAAATCATCATGGAAGTAATTCATGAATAATAATTGATGAATATTATATCTGTTCTATTGAAAATATGTTCAAATATTCGTTTGGACGACATGGAACGACGACATAAAACATTCTACGCTTTTGCCGAATTTCATAGAAGAATCAATTCAAAATACTTTTGTGTAATTTTTCCTTTTTGCAAATCAACAAAAATCAATATATATATATATACTAATTATATATTAATTTATAATTCCTAATCCTTCAAATAGAAATAATATATCATATATATATCTTTCCTTAAAAATTACGAATATTCATATAATGCAAAATACAATATACAATTTTAATATTCAGAATAATATATATATTCAATATTAATTTCGATATTTAATGTAAGTAAATTTCAATTAATATAATAACAATAATTTAATAGTAATATCCGTCGACCCCTACCTAACTAACGCCTAGGCGAGGCGGCGCCGGAGACACCGCAAGGTAAAACAATTGCCCAAGCCAAATAAATTTAGAGCATTTCGACGTAGCGCCGCTACCTTTCTCTTCCCAAGCCAGTGTATCGATGACTCCGTTTCTAGGTATGGCCGTCGGTCCTCTGACTCAACTACCAGGCAAGTGGGCCAGGCCAGGCGACATTAAGTATTTTGGTGGCTGCGGCTCGTCGCTACCTTTCTTCTACTACGATTATTAATACCTCTACTACTACTACTACTATTACCTCTACTATTACCTCTACTACTACCTCTACTACTACCTCTGCTACTACCTCTACTACTACCTCTACTACTACTACCACTACCACTACCACTACTACTACTACTACTACTATTTCTCTACTACTACTATTTCTCTACTGCTACTATTTCTCTACTACTACTATTTCTCTAGTACTACTGTCTTTTTTTCTACTACTACTACACTACTTCAACTACAACTAATATAGAACTATAACTAGTTTTATGGGCTCCCGAAGGCAACGTACCCGGCAATGTGCCAGGCAACGTTGAGCATTTTGACTGGCTGCACCCCCCCCCGCTTTTGTGTGCAGAAATAGATGGTGTCGTTGGCTAGGCTTGAAACCACCCCGCATAGATGGTGTCGTTTGCTAGGCTTGCTGCCAGGCAATTGGGCCAGGCCAAGCGACGGGACAGATATAGATGGTGTCGTTTGCCACCCCGGAAAAGGCCCCACTGCAAAACCCGCTGGTTTGCTGCACGCCTGCACGCCCTGGGAGTGGCCATGCTACCTTGTCTGGGAGTGGCCATGCTGTGTGGTGGCCACCATCATGGTGGAAAAATGTGGCGGAGTAGATTGCCGGTTGGGAGTGAACTTCTAGTGCGTGCCAGGCAAAAACTACAACTACTACTATATTACAACAACAACTACTACTATTACTACTACTATACGACTACAACTAGTACGACTACAACTAGTTTTATGGGCTCCCGAAGGCGACGTGCCCGGCAACGTGCCTGCCAACGTTAGGCATTTTGACTGCCTGCATCCCCCCCGTTCCGACCGCTTTTGTATGCAGAAATAGATGGTGTCGTTGGCTAGGCTTGAAATCACCCCGCTGCGACACCAACCCGTATAGATGGTGTCGTTTGCTAGGTTAGGCAATTGGGCCAGGCCTGGCGACGTTAGGTATTTTGTCTGGTTGCGGCTCGCCCCGCTTGAACCCTTCCGCTGCGACACCAGCCCGCAGGCCTTTCCCTGGACTGGAGCTCTGCGTGGACATGACCTGGGCTGCTGCACGCCTGCACCCGGGCCTGCCCACTACTGATCGCCCCATGTTTGGCGCGAAACCCATTGCCACACACCGTTCGATGGTCCACGCGTCCAATTTTGACGTTACTTGACACAGTAGCTTTGCACCATGGGCAACAATGAATATAACCTTTCGCAGCCACCTTTCCTTCCCTGACAGCGAAAAAAATCCCGCGTGCTCGCCGGTGATTCACCTGCCCCTGTGTTGCTGACACACGCATTGCAGAAGGGACATACGTATTGATATGTCTTTCTCGTCTGTGTTGTGCGTTATTCTTCCTGTGCGGGATAAACCATTGGTAAAATCTGGAAATAAGGATGTGTGTTCTGGATTGCTACAAAGCCCTATAATTCCTTTCAATGAGATTCTTTTAATATTTGAAATTGTGTATTGATTGGTTATGCATGTATTGATTGGACGCTGTGCAGCCTCCTTTAATAAACACCATGCCTGCAGTGAAGATCACGAAATTTTTCTACTATATCCTAAATATCACGTTTCTCGTTTGCAAGAATTCCACCTTGCATTAGAAAAAATATATCATGTAGATAATCGATTTTTTGAGCTACTATAATTAAGATGTTTCCGGGGCTTCTATACGATACGCAAAAGATACGTCTCTTGGCCCAAGTGTTTACTAATATATAGTAATACTATTTTTGACGATCGATAAATACCCTATTACGTAGTTCGAACTTCCTCAAAACAGCTCATACGAAGCTTACAATACAAGATCAAGAAATGTCTATCTTGCATACGAATTATTATAAATCTATAGATAAGATTAAAATCGAATATACATCAATCTAAGGCTAATTATTTCCTCCAAATGAAAGACAAAATAATACCTATTATCAATTCAATTAATCAAAAAACACTATAGCTAAGCAATATAAAAAAGAAATAATTCCGGGGAATATTACAAATCCTATAATCTTTCAAGCGTGAATTATTTATTACAACAAATAATATGTTCATTATATCTATTAGATTTGTAGGGTTAAATTTTTATTACAAATCCTTCCTATCGACGGCACCAGAGCGAAGCCCTTACAATTTATATAAATAATCTTTCTTCAAATATTTAATATATAAGTTTATTATTTAGATAATTGGAAATTATATCTATTCTTTTAACATTCATTTTGAATAATACAAAAATCGAATTATTATATACATACGATTCCATTTTTTGATCCATCATTCATGAGATGATCGTAATGAAGGGTATTATCAGATCTTCACATTCCAACCTTCAATTTGCAATATCTTTTCAAAGTTGATCTGGCCAAGCCTGTTCATTCGATTCAGGGGTTAAACATGATTTGAAGGCCGTGGAATGCATTCATTGGCACCTTGCCAGCACGGTTTTCACCTGGGACAAGGAGACATTGCAATCCTTCTCCCAGTCCGGGGCATGAGGATGCATATAGACATATCTAGACGATTTAACTCTTCCGATGGATTTGAATCAGAAAAAACGTCAAAGGGCCAAAAAATTGGAAGGCCCTGATGAAAGCCAGCCCGATTTGATCTCCAATTGCATACTCCTTTCCAAGCTTTGCATAGATGTAGTTCACGAAATCTTCACTTTGCACATACTCCCGGACGGCAGGATGATGGAAAACTTCATCGTAGCTGACCTCTCCTCTCTCCACATTTGGCATATACCAACTCATCTCATCCCAGCTGCTATCAGGGAGCTTGGCCAACTTGCGCTCGCCATGCGGCGTGTCTCCCCCTTTCTCGTGGTGCCTTGTGTCCTCACTGCCCCACCGATTGTCAGCATGTCGGACAGCATTACAGGGCCAAGACCTCCCAAAAGAGACCCCCCTGGAAGAAGGGAAAGAGGCCCAAAACCCATTTGGTTGGGGATCTCCGTAGTAAAAATACACACTCAGTTGGCCTAGCGAACGATGGATGCTGCCGAAGGCCAACACCGCGCGCCCTTAGGCCCGGATGCGTCAAAAGAATGAGTGAGTTGTTAGGTGCAGGGGAGTTGGGGGACCAACTGAGTCAATCATTGGAAAGAAGATATTCTGAACAGCCAAGTCTCATGTCTGGCCATCTCATTGTAAATCTTCACGGCTTTGTGGAGAAGTAGATTGCGTATCTGCGCGCTCACCTCACCAGAGGCGCTCTCCGCGGGAGCTATGCTCGCTTGAATCGTGAACGTCGCTGAAGACATGGCGGGTTTGATGGCGGATGGTTGGATGACGTGGTAACCACACCACTGATCACTGATCCTTCCATTTTGAATTGGGTGCACACCTACTGATCCGACTGTTTATGAGGCAAATTGTGACCACAACCACCCAATTCATAACATCCGCCCCCCGATTCTCCTCACCTAGCAGACTGCAATTTACATCTCCCATCTCCTTTTCAAGGAGATGAATCAACATGACTTTAAAACATCATAAAACATAACTTAAACACAAAATCACAACAAATCACAAATCCCACAAACAAATCATGTAAACCAATCCCACATGATAAACACATGATAAAACAAATCCCACGTCTGAGCTTCCCAAAACGGTGCGCGACGTCCGCACCGCTGTCCGCACCTTGTGGCTCTCAGTCCTCTCCTCTGTCGCGTGCTTCTCCGCGGCTCCCGAGCCTGGTCCGTGCATCGGCTTCCGAACCCGGCAGCGTCCGGGGCTAGGACGACCACAGCTGACCACTGCCACCCGAAAACAACAAATCAAAAAGAAACACTCCCAGCAAAAGCATGAAGCTGCCCAACTTTCCCTCCGATGTCTGTCCGACTATCCATCAAAACAGCATACCAGTGCAACAAAATTCAATTGATGTGTTTTTCGCATGATTTCGTCTATAAAGTAATCAGGCTCGACCCCTAATGATGTTCCCTCCTGTTATGCAAATTCAATCACATCTACTAGGGCACCATTGAGCCTAGCATTTGTAGTGGAAGATTGCCTAAGACGCAGAAAGAACTTGGTTTGTAACCCAAGGAGCCCAAGACCAAGGCCCAATAGATCCCCATCAAGTCTTCATGCCACTGCGCCGGGCCGATCACCTCGCCACCAAACACATCCGCATGCGATCGGCACTGAATGGCGGGTTCAATCAACTCCAATGGTTTTCTTAGGAGGAGGGTTCAAAGCATGCTACAATCATGCAAAAACAGGATGAACATGGATGAACTAGATCCCTTTGGAACCACTATTTCCTTCGGTTAACATTTGTTCCACAGGGTATGCTTGGTGCATTTCGACTCGCTCATCAAACGCCTGTCCCAACAAAGGGCCGACGGCTGGCGGCCGGTTCTTTTCGGTTTTCGGGTGAGAGGACGTTCGATTTTCAAAAAAAAACATCTTAGTTCCTCTCTCCGCCCTAAGCCGGACGGCTGGCGAAAGAAGTCCTTGATGACACGGTGTTTTCTTCAGGAGCTGATGACTTTCTTCCGGTTTTTTTCACTATATATATAAATATTTAAATATATATGTATATATATAATATATATATATATATCAATCCCTTGTGAAACCTTTCTTCTAGCCAATTCAATTTCAAGTGTTCTATAGTTCGGTCTATCTTCGGTATACCGGGTTCTTCAACGTGAACTGTTCATAAAGGGGTTTGAGGATCACTTTGGGCCCTCAAAAGGTGACTTCGAAGCAGCTGGTCAGGTTTGTTTGACATGTTTTTCGAACCAACCCACTTCATCCACTTCCTTTTGGCCTCATTGTTCATGCCTTCTGGGCCACTCACTCCGGGCGGGTCACTCCCCGCATCTGGCATGCTGGGGCCCCTGGCGCCCATGTCACCAGCCACATTGTCCAGCTTGATGATGAAGGCCAAACCCATGGAATCGTAGACCACATCCTGAACTGCTGGACCAGCTGAACCTGCTTGTCTTTAGCCGAACTGGAACCGAACATCCCGGCATATCCAGGTGGATGTGCAAACATGCTGAAAAAAGCATGTGGCTGCATGCGTGCGGCAACTGAACACAGGGCACACATGCTAGCTGCTAGGCATATCAAAGAAAACCCATCTCACAGAATCCGGTCCACACTTGCCTATAACCGCCTGTCCCTTTGTAGCTGGACGTGGCTGGGAACCTGCTAGTCAGTGAGCCGTTTCCACTACTCTTTGCTTTTCAACGAAGTCATTTCTTGTTCAAACGAAGTCGCTTTGGGCTCGCTGGACACATGGAAAACCAGCCACATGGCAATGAGGCACCAAAAGCTCACGCTGAAGTTCCTGAAAACGCCACAGAGGTGGTCACGATTTCAGCAGAACTTGGCAAAACAAAGCCTTTGGAAGATATGCGAGTTGGCACATGACACAGCGCCAAGCTTACTTACATTTACTTACAATATCTTACAATGCTGTCGCTTCATGATTCCTTCATGATGTATTCCAACTTCGCACCCACATTTGGGGAGGCATTTGCAGCTTTTGGGCCTCGTGCAACCCATTTGCTGCTGCCAACGGCCTTCTGACTTCTTCGCCAAGCCGCATGATGCGACCGACGGTCATCCACCAGTGACCTCGGCCCATGAGTTCGCCCAGGCGCACGTCCTTCATGATCAGCAAACGCATCTTCCGATCGGCATGGATCTCCTCCGAGTAGCGGACGGGTCGCGGAACGTAGCTTCGATTCCCCCCCAACGAAGAGCGGTCCCGGACGGCTGGGTTTTACATGGTTATGGCCACTCTTGGATGAATTAATTGGGAATTCGCCAAGCTGCACGAAAACGGCTGAAAAATGACGTTGAGAGCTCAACTTTCACTCTGGTGTGCTTTTGCTTCAGAATAGGTGCCCTGCAAATACACCAGCAAATACTTGCACGTCGAGCGCAAAGCGCTCAGGAGTTCTGGCGGTGCATCCAGTGCGGTCGCTCGCAAGAACTTGATGATTTAACATGTTCTAATCTAACCAATCCGAAGGACACGTCCCGGACATCTTTCAATCAGATTCTTCCTTTTGTTGCTGGTGAATGCGTCACCGCTGGTTCAGCCCACCGCATTTCGATGAAGGCCGCCTTCGGCACTCTCTCTGCTCGGCTCCTCGCCGAGGTGCACGCGCAGGAAGCCGGCGAAGCCGAAGAGGAACAACGCAGCTAAACAACGGCCGAGCCTCGGCAGGTGGGAGAGGCATTCCGCGGTCAGTCCCCGTTAATTCAACTCCAAGGGCGAACGAAAGGGTGTTCAGATCCCCCCCAAAATCCTTATAAACAAAATTCAAGGCGAAATGTAGAATCACCTCAGACGTGTTTAACTCCATGTAGATCTTAATCTTCTCACGATCTATTCTCCTTCAGGGCCTTGGCTTTGGGAGTATGTCCCTCAAAAGCATCAAGCTCACATGCCGCATGACCTGGCTTTGCGGGGATCCTGGAAAGCCCAAACCCACCAAGCGGCCCAAACCCGCGTTGCCCGCCGAGGTGCCAGAATTCCGTGCCGGACTCGTGACCCAAGCCCACATGGACATTGGACCAGTCTAGCCTGCTCCGCGGCCAGGGGACTCCAAGGCTGTGGCACTGTGAGGGAGAAGCAAGCATGCGACCTATTCCGATGAAGAGGACGCATGCGGCACTCTGGAGTTTCCGAGTCGATCGAAAGGAAGCTGACACAGTTCTGTGACTGTGTGCGTTTCAGTTCCGCAAGCCGCCAGTGAAAAACACGAAGCACTGTGAGAAATAAAGAAGCCCAAGAAGTATATCCCCAGGTCCCCAACAGCTGGGCATCAACCCTCAACAGCCTGGCTCTTGTCCAAAAACCCATCGACAGTGATTGCTTTCCTTCAACACCTGGCGTGATTGCTTTCGTTCTTTCCCTCGCCTTTTCACGTGCGAGTAGCAAATGGAGACCGGCGCTAGCAACTGGATCGCCATTACGGTGAGCAAACTCCCTGCACCGTCGTCGCGCACGGCGACGGTAGAGACGCGGCGCGGGTCGGGCTTGCGAGGGGTTGCACCAAACGCTGCCACGGTGAACACCAAGGAAGACTGGGCCCCCCGTATGGCCTGAAAGACCAGCCTGGAGGGGTGCAGTGCCGTGCCGGCTGGTCCTTTTCTCGGACGCTGTCTCCTGTTCTTCCGTCTCCAAAAGCTCCAACCAGATGAAACGTCTTCCCATGTCTTCCCCCTTCTTCCCACCGACTCCCCACACCCACAGCGGCTTCAACACTCTCAAAGCACAGTGTCTTCTTGAACTTCCCCCACCCCATGGCTTATACGTATAAGTCTTATACGTATATAACAGTATGTTCACCACTGAGTTTTCCCCCACCCCGCCTGGAGTCAAATTCAACCACCGAGACGAACAGCAACAGGGCGCTCCTAAAAGGCGCGCCGGCTGGCGATCTCTCGGCATCTGAAACGGGCATCTGCAAAAAGAGCTGACGTGTACCAAGCAAGGCAAAAGCCGGTGGAACATGCAGGCCGCCCGCGCCGCCCTCCCAAAGAAAATGAACCAACTGACCAAAGAGACCGAGACCATCTTTGCCTGAATTGGCGGATATATCATCGAACGGTAGAGTGAATGACTCGCTTGATTTTGGGTCGGACCACTTTTGCGACCCAACCTTCTGACAAATGGCTCTTCAAGAATTAGAAGTTAAAACAACATGAGCTCTTGAGTTGTGCTCTTGGGCTCTGACAGCGGGAGGAAATTGGGAAGTAACTCATCTTAAGCAATCAGCAAATCCCCAAAGCCCAAACTGTACCTTCCCATGGTGCAACGTCTCAATTGCCAAATGATGCCAAAAAGGGAGGCAAGGAAGTGCGCTGGGAGTTAATTCGAACAGGATCGAGGGTGTTGAAGAATTGCCAAATAAGGGCCCTTTTGATATTCAATATATGCAATAGTCCAAAAATACAAGCATGCATACAAGGAAAAAACGCACATAATGACATTCATAATGTGATGGTTCTTTGGATTTAGGGTGTATATATTTGCAATAGTCTTTTAAGATCTCCAACCGTGAGCACCGTTCCATCATAGAGTGTTACACGGTTACGTGGTTGTAGCTGGAGAAACCTGATGCTATGGTCAGGACATCCGTGTAAAGAATGCTGGAGCTTGACAACTCTAATAGTCGCTAGGACAAAAGTCGCAGGACAAAATAATTAGGAAGAGATTGTGGGCAAACGTGGGCAGTGATATTTTGGGCTGTGCGATTTGGACATTGGAGCAACCACTGTTGGGATATTGTTTTAGGAACGTGTGTAGCTCGTGCATTTCATTCTCGATTCACCATGTTTCACCTCATTATGGTTTAACTTGGCAGCTTTCTTTGTGATGGGCCATTGCCAAAGGGTGGAAAATGCTAGGTGGACCCCCAAAGAGCACGAGATATTTCTATCCTGGAGCCTGGAGCTGCTCACAGTCTCCGCTCCTGAGTTGGACTCCTCGTCAGCCGTGGCGATATTGACCAGTGCGGCTGTGTATCCTGAGCGCGCCAGGACGGGCAGAGTGGAGAAGGGCACAGTGCCTTTGACAGCTAAATGGGGTAGGGAATGATAGGGAGAACCTGCCATGAGTGGCTTTTGACTTTTTCCTTTGCTAGGGGTCTATATCAGTGTGGGAGCAGTATTTGGAGGGGTACTTCGGAACCTCCAACATGTTCTTCGTAGACTGCCCAACAACCGCGCCACGATCGATAGACTGGCAAATAGCCAGTGGACATTATAGAAACCCGCCACTCTGTATGCTTTGCTCATGGGTGCATTGATCTGTTGATCTCAGTTGGGTCAGGGATCTGTATATATGTTTAATTATGTTTATGTATAAGACCTTGTGTGACTTCGGTAGCCCTACCCGTATTTGTTCAGAACCTCACCCCACTGCCACGACCACTGCAACCAACTCTCAACGGGGCTGTCACCATGTCGGGGCTGTCACGGCATGCCAAACCCTAACCCAGACACGACTAATGGGACTGCCATATATGTCTACCATAAGACCCCTAAAACCACCCACCCCTGGCCGTTTCTCGGCAGTCCGTCCTGGCAGTCCCAGACGGGTCGTGCCTGGGTCAGTAACGCCCCCGCACGTTCTTCACAACGCCTTGACCCTGAACGGGCCCGGGACTGGCGCCGAAAGCGCCTGGCTATCGCCAGTACAAGAAGCAGCGGTCTTCGTCGTTCTTGCGAAGACAATGGAACATGGAACACGGTCGAACCCTATGTGGATGTGAGTACGAACCCGATACGAGATTGGAACGGAGGAGTCGCATGGAGTCTGCTGGAGCAGTCGACGGTCTCATCGGACTGAATTCGAGTCCCCAACGCATGCTCCGAGGAACTGTAAATGTTCCCAGTCAAAGGCTGTGGCTGGGCCATTTGCTCCAACAAATGTTTCTGCTTCCTCAGGTCAGTGACGCAAGAAAAAGCTCCGGATTGAATGAGACCTTCAGGTGAGGCTCGGTGCTACAAGGAAGTGCTTGTGGACATGTCCTTCCACCAGCGGGTTGCTGGAAAAGGGAAAACGAAAGGGTCTCCTCATCGATGATCAAAGTCTCTGAAGAAACCCCTGCAGTTCCTACCCTAAAAGAACCACGTCAAAGGTCAGACTTGCTTAGCCACTTTCGGGCTCCATCTTCTCAACACCAACATGGAGACCCCCAAAATGCTGAGATAATTTTACAGTTGTTTCAGAGTAAACGGCACTACTTACTTAAATACATTTAAATACCCATATTTCGGTGGTTCAAACCCCATGTTTCCAAAACAGGACCCCCCCAAAACAGGTGTTTCGGCCGCACTCACGACCTAAATGTATCCTAGCATAAGTCTCGCGTCCTTGCTACTACGCTCTTTGCTCCGTCCGCACTATGGCCAGTTTCGCCCCGTCCGCAGCGACGCCCGCCCACCGGACCGGTCACCCTCCGGTCACCCGTCACGCCCCGTTCGGTCCGACGACCGGGAGACCGGGAGACGAAGACCGGGAGACCTCGGTGGAGCGGTCGGTCTGGTGATTCGGAGCGTCTTGGAGCGAAACCAGTTGGACTTCTTCACGAAGGCGTCCACCACCGACAGGGCCGAGGTCTTGGACATGGGCACCTCGAGGTCTAAGTGAGTGGAAAGGCCAGAAGCGGAGACTGGAAGATAGGAGACCAGGCTAAGCCTAATCCCTTACAGAAGTCCAACAACTGCACACTCCCTGGAACTAACATGGAAGTAGAGAATGGCCCCGTAAGGAAGACCATGTTCATCCATTTTCCACTACAAACAGGTGGTGAACTCCACTTCCATGTTAGTTCCAGGGAGAGTATTTTGACTGACTGAAGGTTTCAGGATCTTCCTGAACTCGGGTCACCGAGTCAGATCGTTCTTTCGTCGACTGGACTCCCAGGCGAACGTCGGACATGTCGATACATGGTGCAACTCACATTCCACGGTTCATTCGCGATGGATCTCATCTCATTCGCGGTTCCGATCGAAATCGTTTTGACAGTGAGTTCATGTGAGTTCCGTGCTTGTTCCAACTTCCGTTCATCACGCCATCGAAGAAGGTGTTCGGTGTTCCCGTTCGCCCCCCCCCATCTCGGGAATGGGGATGTGTGTTCGCCGCCTTGAAAAAGCTGGCTTTCGGCTCCTCATCATCAGAGGTGGGCGTTGATGGGGCCACACTATAGTCTCGCAAGGTCGCTGACATGGCGTTCGACCTCTGAGCCCACGCCTCGGCGCGAGGTGCGAGACGAGCCCCTCTGATCCAAACAGCATGCGAAGGAGAGACCACCAAAAGCTGCGCACCAGTCCGAGGAAGATTGAAAACGCCAAGACCCATCAAGTCCGGGTGTCTCCATCCAAATCTATCATCAAGTCATATCAAGTCACTCCTTTTTGAAGGCTGGTGACCGGTACTGATGCCCTAAATCTCGGCCCAGTGACATCTGAAGACCCCCGACAAAGTGCTTTGAGCTGAGTTTGGTGTATTTTCTGTTGGTAAGCTACCAAAACAATAATATGGCAAAATAAGTAGCACTTGCCCTAGTCAGCAGGAGCTGGTGCCGGCAATTGCCCGCACACAGTCAATTGCCTATAGTGTATATATATATATACATACCATTATCGTAACTCACTCTACATAGATGCATCGAATTTTGCATCAACAGGAGGCGAGTACGGTAAACCCTGACCTCTCCAAACAATGCTTTTACAGTTGAGATATGTTGACGAAGCTTCCGCTCCCCGCGCCCGTTTTGCTCTCCTTCGACCTCCGACCCGGCTGGTCCAGGCTGTGGCTTGGCCACGCAAGACCATCGTTCCATACAGCATGCAAGCAAGATGTGCACAGCTGCCAACTGCCAACATAGAAAGAACATTACATTCTACGAGTAGGGCCAACAACCAACTAAGCCCACTTTTTGGCCCTGCAGAAAGGTCTACCATAAGCCCACTGAGCCCACTAAGCCCACTTTTTCAACCATGTCTTTCGGATTCTTTCGGTATCTATGAGCTATAGCCCAGAAATAGCCCAGCTTTCCAGTTCCAATCCTTCCAAATCATGTGGCAACTGGCAGTTTGCATGACTCAGTCGAAAGGTACGTGTCCATCCGGCGGGTTCGACGCGAAAATCAAGGGCGTCCTGCAAACACGGTGAGACGCAACCTGAACCCCAAAACAACCCCAGTTGAAATTATCAGGCTGATTATTGAGCCTCAAACATCAAAAACATTCAAAAAGAGGTAACTTTGAGTGTTTCGATTTTTCCATTGCCATAGTTCCCCACGGAAACCATTAGTCGGAGCGAAACGCGCATATATTTTGGACATAGGAGCTGTTGCATGTTTCGGAGTGCTCGTGAGAAGTGAACTCATTTGGGATTTGGTTGCATACATCATACATTGCATAGGCTCTTATGACGCTGCTGGTTGTTTCTACGGGTCAAAAGGCCCGGCGCAAGGTGAAACTATCTTCGGCAAGTACTCGCACATGGTGTGGCTCAAAATCAGTCTTGGTGTTTCTTTGCCGAACACTTGTCGGGCTAGGGCACGTTTCTTGATGAGATCTTTTTGAGCCAGCCCTGTGCAAGGCTTCAAAAATCCAAAAAGGGGTTCAAAGAAGCCCCAGTCTGCCTGAGGCAATTCAAGCCTAGCACTTCTTCAACCCTGCTCTACCGGCCGATCTCACTGCTCTACCTCTACCTGCAGCCGAGAGTAATACGGGTCACGTCACAGAGCGGGCCTCCACAGCGAGCTCCTAAATGAGGGATAATGATTTTTATTGAATTTGACAGGGATCGGGGTTGATGGACACCCCAGGTATGCTGGTTCCCTGTCCCCCGCCTGCGACTGCAGCGTGATCGCAGGCCACAATGCCCTGCGGCAAAGTGGAACGACCATCTTCGACTCAGAAGAAAGGTCCACCCTCGCGGACCCTCCTGACTCTGCTTCAAATCGATCACTTCCCACCCTGCTCCTTCCCCGCCAAACATCCACTTCCACCTCCGAGGCGCACTTCATCAATGTCCTTCGTCCCGTTACCACTCCTCGGGCGCTTAATTTCAATGTGCTCCAGCTGCTTGGCCAACATCGTTGACATGCCATGGCCTCCGTGAGGTGAAGAGGGAGAGAGAGAGGGACAGGAGAGGGACAGGATGGTCCAAAGCGGTGGATCTGGACAGGTTCCGAGGGTCACCAGGTGATCTGACAGGAGGGAGAGAGAGAGAGAGAGATAGAGTGGTCAGAAAAGGAAGGGAAGAAGCTGCTGAATTGTTCTGGTTGTATGTGGGCTATACATGAGTAGGGGGTTCCTCTCCCCCAAAGCCACATCTTGCAAACAATTGTGCAAAGGAGCATCGTCTTCAAAACCTAACTCTGCTGCGCGAGCGAAACCAGGAACTTGCTTTCAGTCTCTCTTTCAGTCTTGTTGTGCCGTGTCTACTGTGAAGATGGGAGCTAGGTCGAGGGTGAACACCTCTATTTCGATACATCTCATGTTCAGCACTCAAAGGCCCTGGAAGCTGTGGCTGGCGGTTCCGAACTGCCACTTTCCACTCACCCACCCCACTTTCCGCTGTCGCAACATGGTGGCAGGTTCCCATGTTTTCACCTTCCCCAACGATGCTACAGGTCGATCTGGGGATGCTCCGTCTTCATGCTGTTGTACGCCTGCCAAGAACTTGCAAAGATCCATCAGCACCGTGTGAAGCTGTGAGAACTCATCGGCGGTGAACTTGCGCAAGTTCACGATGTCCTCGCACTCACCGCCGAGTCGAGATGCCAAGGGCAGAAATTCCGAAGGGACGCCGAGTTCCGGAGGACCATTGGAAGAAAAGGTGTGGGGAATGAACAAAAAGCGGAAGTCTCTCTACGAGTTTCACCGAAGATCACCGTTTTTATTAAAATAAATGCACTACTAAACATCTGGGAACGACTGGTCTTGCCCATGCTGTGAGGCATCAAACGCCTCAAATGTGCGACTTGGCTCTCAAACCTCCACGCTGTAGCATTGACACACATGATTTTTTTCAGTGGTCTTGGAGGCTTCCGCTAGGAGATCGTCTGGTGCATTATGGCCACTTAATGGGTGTCATCGCTCCCCCACCATATGCAGCAGCACCTATCTGGCAGTGCGTTTGAGTCAGACCTCAAACGTGATTTACATCTTTTTCCTCAGTCTCAGCACATTCGGAAGGACCAATGTTTCAAACATGCTAAGTGTGGGTCGGTCAGGCTGGGTCAGGTGCTTTTTGGAGCCAAAGGTGCACGTGCCTCAGTTCAGTTGCACTAATTACTAGGCTGTACTCTCCGCGCCCCTCCCACCCCCCCGCCGACGTCACAGCCCGAACACCCGACCACCCAAGCCCGCCCCCGCCGTGCCAGAACGGCGGTCCTTCACGGTGGTTTGATTGGTTCCCCTGAGGGTCAGGATGGCGTCCATGAATTCTCCGAAGGTCAAAGGCTCTCCGTCCTCGAAGAGCAGCTTCCCTCGGCGGTCGGTGCTTCGGCCCGTCGGCCGTGGGGAGGGGATGCCAGGAGGGTCGAGGCCGAGGTGCGAAGCGAAGTGGGCCAGGCGGCCATCCAAAAAGACGTGCCACCTGCGATAATCAATCAAACTATACCAGGACCTTCCAAAGGGGTGTCCAATGGACTACCCCACACTACCTATAGGCTTCCATTGGGCACCCCTTAGAGGGTCCTGGTATAGTTGCGAGATCTTCAAACTATTGGACCTGAATCATCAAGAATTAGACTACATCGCAATCACCGAAGAAGGACCCCAAACACCCGCAGGTATAACTCTAACCAGCCACCACCTCCGATTGGACGGCCGAACCGCTCTTCGCTTCGCTTCTGCCGAGGTGCCTGTTTCCATGACGGCATACGCGTCCACCCCGAGCCGGCTCAATGCTTTGGAAGCTTCTGGACGGGCCAAAAGCCTCTCGCGCCAGACAGCGAGGCTGTCTGAACCACGGGAAATGAGAGAAGCGCAAAAAAACAGGTTGTGCAGCTGCGAGACGCCCAGCTTACTCAGTTCAGGTGACTAATTAGCTGACCCTGAATGATTCTAATTAGATTTGATTCAAAGCTTGGCAATGCTTTTCTCTTTGCAACTCCTTGGTTGCTCATCACAGTCGCCGTTCTAACCTCTGCCTTCTTCATCCTTCTTCCAACGGTTCACCGGCCGAAACGTGGACTCTCTCCTCCTTCCTTCCCTCTTTTCCTCCCCAGCCATGCCGAGCCTGACAAATTCATCCTCGCTGATGCGGTTGTCTCCATCCTCATCGGCACCTTGTTCCTTGATCAAATCCCAAAGCACCTTAAATGCGCAGCCGACCCCCCGCAGGGTGCAGCACACGATGGACTTTCTGAAAGCACTGCCAACTGGAGATGGACATGTGAATGTCAAAGGACAGCAAAGTCTAGGGGGCTGTGGAAAGTGGTTGAAAAACCTCGGGCTTGCCATCATCTCACCATACATCCCATACACATACACCTGCACAATAGATCAAACGAGGTCTCAAGGCACCTCCAGGACACGCATGAGCTGGTTGAGGAGCATCGACATGCATTTACCTCCAAGGCCTCGTGACTTTTTACAGCTACTTTTACAGCTCTATGCGGCTATGCACCTCGCTATGCACCCCACTTTGCCTGGTTGACTGCAAAAAGAAACACAGCTTCTCCGTCGAATTCCGCAGGGGTGTGTTCACAGTCGGCCGGTGTCGGTCACACGGCCGCCGTTCGCCACGCCGAGCGGCTCGTTTGGCGAAGTCCACCTGGGATTGTTCATGGGACAGTGGCAGGACAGCGTGCTTCACATGAAGGGAAAGGGTGAGCCCCACAAGGCGATATCAAACCCATTTGGGCAAATCCAACCATTCGCTGAAAAATGGAAGGCTCTACCTATCCCGAATTCATGTATCATACCCATTATTCATATCCCAGGCCCATAAGTCCGTTACTGGCCATGAACTTGTCAAAGGTGGGTTGAAACCGGAATTATCCTGAACTGTGACTAAGGACGAAGGGCGAACAAGGAGCCCGGAACTGTGACCTAGGAACCCGTGCCAAACTCAGCGGAAAAACCTCCTTTGTCTCGGGCCTCGACACGTAACCATGAGGTCTCGCCACTTGAACCCAACGCACCGGCCAGATTTCTGGAGGGCGCAGGTGACACATCAAATGCTACCCCTCCAATGCAACATGTGGCGAGCGCACTTTGGAACTCCGGCTTCGCAATTGGAACAGGCTTTCCATTCAAAAAACGATCCTTTGCATTTTGGATGGTTCATGCTTCATGGTTCCAAGATTGGTCCCCGCAGCGTTGGTTCCGGTCGTTCTAAGGAGGCCGGGAACTGGGATGGCTAGGGAAACTACGGAATAAGCACATCCGTAAGAGAAAACATCATCAACCCACCCCATGTTCTTCATGTCCGTCTCAACCCGTTTCCTCCAGCAATGGCCCTGCTCCATCATCATCCAACGTCTATCGTGTCTGTCCCAGTCAGCACCCAAAAACCCCAGTCATCCAAGCCACATGGATCTGCTCATGCTCCATGGTTGCGACTGTCTGCACCGCTTCAACAAGAATCCCAACCAACATATTCATGACAATCAGCGAGCCCACGAGAACGAAGATCAGCACAAGCCTCGGAAAAGAGTGCAGCAACCTACCTGAGATCAAGCTGCCAACCAAATTATTTCATTGTTCCCCAAACAGTGTGTCCACACTGAGGGGTTCTTACGGTAAGTGTAAAAGCTCGGGTTCGATCAGGGCACACTCTCTGAGCTGGGCGTTTTGGCTGCGCAGGCTCGCAGAAAAGTTCCGTTCTGAGATCTCCGAATGCGATTTCTCTGCGCCAGGTCGCGCGAATCGCTGCCCTGGGGATGGCGCTTGACGGAGGCGCGCTCTCCTTGTGGTGTCGTGCGCATTTTTGGACTTGGTGATCACCCTTCGTGGCAGGCGCAAGGGAAGCCTCGTGCTGTGGTGGACTAAAGTCAGCTTTTCGTGACAGGCGCGGGAAATCGGAGCAGGTTGATGTTGATGTATATACATATTTTGTGGCAGGCGCAGTGCTTTGGATATGGTGGTCTTAGGCATGCTCTGATTTCGTGGCAGGTGAGTGAATTTGAGTGAATCGTTACTTTTGGACATGTGGTTCGTTTTCAGAAATCGTGGCAGGCGAAGTGCTTTGTCGACCTTGAAGTGGCATGAGGTGCAAATTTTGTGGCAGGCGCAGTGCTTTGTGGACCTTTCCCACCAGCTTGCGAACCCCCATCCACCACCATCACCACGATCTTCACCTTCATCACCACCATCACCTCTTTTGACCTCAATGCGTCTAGATCCCTAGACTTTCTGCTGCTACACCTCTAGACCTCAAACACACTGTTTGGGGGCTCTTGCCGGGATATCTTTTTGCGGGGGAGGGTTTCTAGCCGCATCCTCCAAAGAAACCCCAAGCACACCCGGCCCTTGTTGGCGGACTTCATGGATCAAATCATGCCCCCAACCACCTCAACGCGCCGTCAACTCGCCCGGCTGCGAGTTGAGCCCCGTTTCCCGCTGTTTTGCGACGGGCTTCACACACACACACACACACACTTCGCTAATGTAGCTTCTCAAGCTTGTGGTTTGGAGCCGCGAGTATCAACCAGAATAACCTTACTACTAGGAGCAAGGACGCTACTAGGGGCTCCTGGCCGTACTACTAGGAACAAGAAGCTACTAGGGGCTCCTGGCATCGCTACGAGGAGCAAGGACGCTACACATAAATCCATGCTTTCCTTGCCGCAACAGGAGGAGGATCTTGATGTCCTATCTGAGACAGAAACCGCACCGGCGCTGGTGCCAACGGGTTTGCCACCATGGAACGTACCCATGACCCAACTGGTATCTGCAACATCTGTGAAGAACTCCTCTTGGTCCGGCATCACACACTGCACCTCAGTGTGTGAAAACTCGGGTCGAGTGGTGGATTCACCGTCGGTCGTTGCAAGATTCAAGTTTCGTGGACCATTCAGTGTCATTCAATCTGCAGCAGCAAACGTCAAGTTCACCTAGCTTTTAGGTCAGCAAGAGAGGTTCAATACTCGGAAGTCAGGTGTTTTATGAACTTGAGAGGAGGGAGACACGAAAGGTAGGACAGCGGGAAGAGAAGAGAACGCGAGAGGCAGGAACAAAAATGCAATGTTCGACATGGTGATTTATCCCCTCGGAGGCGACCTTTCGTAAATATATGTTCATATGCACTCTAAATGTTCAAACATATGCTCTCGAAATGTTCAACAAAAATCTTAGGAAAACAAAAAATTGCCCCATGGCTCAGATCATCGGTGAGCATTGAATCGGAACATCATAGGATTTGAACTATCCTGAAACCATAAGAGGCTCACGAAGACGCTCCCCAGGAGAGAATTGACGTGCTTCACAAAACAAACTCTAGGTATGTATCCCCTCGGGGAACACCTTTCGTGATTAGAATTTCATATTCACCCTTTCTGAATGTTCAAGAGGTTTTCAACTATCCTGAAGTCATGAGAGGCTCACGAAGACGTTCTCCAGGAGAGAATTGATTTTAGAGGGGGGAGGGGGGGGGGGTTTTTTTTTAAAAAATAAATTGGGGGGGGGGGGGGTCTGAATTGAGTGATCAATTATTAGACCCGGACGTCCCAACACTTGCTTCGCAAGACAAACTCAAGGTATCCCCTAAAGGGCTACCGTTCGTGACCGCAGCCCGAGGTGCAACCAGGTTCAACACGGCCGTTGGCATGGTGTTGAAGTACTTCTCCTTGAGATGCGTTTCGACACTGAGCTGTGCGAGCGCAATGCTGAAGACATAGGTGATCAGCAGCAACAGAACCAATGTGAAGAACACGGATCTGGCGGCAACGATCAATCCTTGGTTGGCAGTCGAAACATCGCAAATGCATATCATCTGGGTGGCGAATCCTTGCGGCAATGCACGGTGCTGCCATTGCGGCAAATCATGTTCCAGCAATTGCACCTTTGAGGCTCATAAATGTCTGAAGCTCAAAACAAGGACACTGACAAGTTTGACTCCCACAGCAAACCGCACATATAACTGCATGAATTCAGTTTTCACGTGACACCAAAAACATCGGACGCATGAAACAACGGTTCCACCGAACGGTTTCACAGAGAGGGACCTCGTTTGGTCCATGTGATGCGGGTTTTGTGTAGTCTTAATCTAAAGGCATCTGTCAAGCTAAGTCTTGCTTGATGTACAAGCTGCGTGACGTTATGGTGCATGTGAGACTGCAAACCTCGAAGTGGATGGCATGGCCCCTGGAAAGGCCCTTTTCCGAATCTACTTCCATGTGGCCCTGGGGGGTATTTGTAGGCCTCCACATCGCTGCTTGCAGCAAAAAAAAAGGACTCCGCCCGTCTGCCCTTCGATGTCTCCAAGAGGCCTTTCACCAGGATCATCAGCTCTGGCATATAGCCTATGTGTTTGTTGTTTCTTCCGGCCGAACGGTACAGAACCTCTATTGGGTCTGGATTTGGGAGCCTCATGACCTGACCTCGACCGCATGGCCTTGGTCCTGGTCGATGCTCGATGTCCCGAAGAGCAAGATGAAGGCAAGAGCAAGCTTGGCAGCTATCCTCATGCTGCTTTTTTTTGGGCATCCTAGAGTCACAAATCATGCCCCAAGCAGCGTGATTTGGGCAAACCCCAGCAAGCATAGGTAGGCAGGTAGATAGATTTTACATAGATTAATGATACAGTATGACACAGTAGACACATAGACAAATAAATAGGATGCAAATAGGATAGGATGGGATGGGATGGAATGGATGAATAGATGAACATAAAAAATTAGAAAACACATATAGGATCATATAGTATAGTAATAAATAGGATAAAATAAGGTAAGATTAGATAGATAGAATTTGAGCATGTTTTATGTCTCTATTATACTTGGTACATCAATATGCGACCCCATAATCCCCAGCCAAGTGAGTGTGTGGGGTTGTGAATCCTGGATTGCTCCAGTGTGCGGCGAAACATGCGCAGCCTGACGTGGAGCCCCAAGTGCTTCCATCCGCTTGACCCTTGCCACCCCCCCGTCGTCTGAGTAGGGTCGTCAACGATGGACAGCACATGATCGGCTTAGCATTAGATGAAGCTACTAGGCGCCACTGAGCTGAAGTTCGGCACTTCTTCAGTTCTTCCTCCGTTCTTCTCCCCAAGTTGCATACCTAGCCGTCCCTTCCTGAGTAGTTCCCCTATGTCGGAGCGTCTTCGGTGCGAAGGACGGGGAAGGCACCCGTCGTTCGGGGAAGGCACCCGCCGTGGGAGGTTTCAGAATCACCCATCACCCCACCCTAGAAGTCCAGTTCGACTATATCTTGACCGGCTGAAGTAAAGGAAGTTCCCAAACTCAGGTCCCCGTTCGTCAGACCCTTCTTTTTATAGTCTTTGACTCCCAGGGCCCAAGCAAAACCCACCATTTTTCCATCTTCTTCCGGTCACCGATCCACTCCTGTCCGGCTCCCGGCTCCTTCCGGCCCCTTCTTCCCGTTGCTTCGCCAGGCCACGGGCGACTCGAATGATCCGCGCGGTGCGGAAGACGCGCAAAATCCGCGCGATGCGCAGCACAGAGGCGGAGCGGCTTAAGGAGCCGCCGGTCAAGGAGCCCCCCTCGATGAGCAACGCGGTGATAGGGATGAGCCAGGTCTCCAAGAGCATCATGGTCACCAGCAAACAATCCTAGGTGAAGGCGAAGTCATGAGGAAAACATCACCCACAGGTTTTGGAACATATATGGACACGTGGATGTGTAGCCACACATCGAGAGGATTCTTCGAGAAACATCCCGTTCGGGATCCCTTGTTTGGGGGAAAGGGACGTTGAGAAAGTAAGATGGCTTAGCGGCTTAACTTGTGTCGTGCCCAAGTTAGATGAAGGATGATGATTGGAACATGTTGGTGGGGGGGACAACTGATCATCTGATGTCGCTCAATCTCTATATGATATATTGGCAAGCGGGTGTCGCCATGTAGGAATTTCATCAGTTCTTTATTGGTCGCCTCAACCCCAGTGAGCTCCTTTCTTTGGAGAGACCTTCCATGATGGACGACCAATCCGATACACACCTCACCTCAGGAGACTTGCAGGTTCCACTCCTTGAGGTGGCCAGTTTTTCCGACGAATGATGCATACGCATACAGTCAGTATGCCATGATTCCACGACCCTCACTTCGCCTCGAACATCCACGGCGACAGCCTTCATACAAAGCTTGTGTTCTATTTCGTTGATTTCCCAAACATTCCATAAATGCCATATATACCGATCAGTTGGGGTGGTTGAAAAGGGTCAATGGGGCGGCATATATGGCAGTCCCATTAGTCGTGTCTGGGTCTTGCGTTGATTTGGTCGCTCGCCCAGAGGTTTCGGGGGCTCCAACTCGGCACGCCAAGCGAGTTGCGAAAAGCGGACGTATGGCATCCGACCGGGTGGCCAGGTGGCCAGGGATCAAGGTTCCGCAGCCATTGACTCGATGGATTACGACAAATGCCGATGTTTGCTTTTAAAAAGATGCCGATGTTATGTTTGCTTTTAAAAACCGCATGGGAGTGGCTCAACTGCTGGCAGGAGAATGGAAACTGTAGATTCACGATTAAATGGGGAGGGAGTTGGTTCATTCCAAGCCGAATCAGTGAGGAATCTCCAAGAATGGTGTGCAAAGATCTCCCAAACCCTTCATGCATCCCATGCGGTCTAGGATCAAAAAGGAACCACGAGTCCATAAAGGCCTGCCGGGTCTTTTTGTAGGACATCCACCGCACAAAGAGCTCACCACTGAAGTAGAGTGTAAACAAGATCTCCATGATGAGGAAGGGCTCCGTGGCTTTCAAGACCATCTCCGCCTTATTGAACTCAATGTCAATCGCAATCCATAAAGCGTTGAAGTAGATCATCATCAAGGACATGCGCTCGAAGTAAGGATGTTTCCTGGGATTGGATTTGGCGATAGAACATTTCCTCCGACCAACGTAATATCCTCTGGTAGGCAAATCTCAACCAACACAGGACAACTTTTGATACATGTTGTATATTTTAGTTGCCGCTGGTTGACGGCAATAAGAACTACAGGGTTGAGTCTTCTACCAAACGTCATGACATGGAATGGGGGAAGTACATGGAAATACTTGTTTTGTATCAGCCTCAGTGAGGGCCATAATCTCAATATGTTGGTCAATATGTTGGCCAAATATCTCGATCTCGATCTCATGATCTGCCAGGCGTCACAATCAAAGCCCAACGAGTATCGGAAGCTGGTGGGGGTGGCCCAAAGTTTTCAACGGCTTTTCGCCTCACTGCATCACGCGCACATTCGGCGCTCAGCTGTGAGAACACCCGTGGCTGCTTGTCGTCCTGGAGTGTCGAGAACGAGAGAACGAGAGGACGAGGCTTCTCAGTGCGACCTGTGGAGCATTTCTCCTCCTAACCCCAGCCGAAACCCAGCTTGTCAAAAACTGAGGGCGACTGGTTAAGCTACGCACCACGGAAATTGAGTCGAATTGCGAAGGACAATTCGGCAAGGACCCTCCCTGACCACCTGCAGCATTTTAGTACATTTTAGAACTACCGGGTGTCACGCGGAGATTGGCCCCTCACGTGTTACGCGCTAGCACTCTCGAGCTAGCTGCTGATGTGTCCGTGTCCATCTTTCAACTTCTGAGTCCACAAAAAAACCGTAGATCACAACAAGCCCCCGACTCTTCACACAACCCCCAAAACCAGAAGAGCATCCCAAGGCCGCCGTGAGCGGCGTTTTGGTGGACCATGACGGGTTCTTGGGTCCCATCTCCTATCATGACCCCATCCTGCACTGCAGCCATCCGAACGACACGACCTGCGCGAGACGAAGCCGACCGTTCACCTCAAGAGTTCGTTGGTCGATTCGCTCACCACGCCGCGTCACGCGAAGGACGAAGACGAAGGGGACACGAGGGACGAAGGGGTCCTCTTCGCTCTTGGGGGCCTCTGGTTGGCTCTTGTGGATCCAGGCCATGTGCTTCTTCCGGCGCTCGGCCACTGTGGGTAAGCTACTGAAGACCTGGCCCACGCGCTGCTTTCGCGCTGCGCCGTAGGAGAAGTGAAGTCGTATAAATGGAAAGGACGGGCTTCTACAGAGTGGCGTGGGAATGTGCCACAGGTCAAACTTAAATCCGAATTTATAATACCACCTGAAATAGGGCACCAAAAAGGTCCCCCTCCCAAGGCCCTCATTCGCTTTAAGTGGTGCACCCTTCCAAACATAGCAGCCACCCGAACGGCCGCTGGAAGAAGAAAAACCGAAGGCCTCAACCTTGTCTTCGTTCACAAGTCCTGGCGCACGGCCACTGGTGCACCCGGCCACACCCACGTGCAGCTGGTGAACATCGGAAATGAACAGAACAGCCTTCCTGAGCATGTTCATCACCATAAGTAAACTCCCGCACCCTCATCAGAAACCAAAACACTCGGTCATTGAACTGACATCTACTATACTTTGAAATATAACGTCTATAGCCCCTCTTCAACTCCTTCAACCCACCCAAACCTCCCAGTTTTCACTGGGTTTCCATCGCTCCTGGCATTGAGGCGTTCGTGCTCCTCGTCGGCACCTCAACACTGGGCGCCACCCAGGCCTCGTTGCGAAACCGTCGCTTCCGATTCTCGGGTGCCTTTCCCGTCGTCGAGGTCGGTCAGTTCTCCTCAAGTCCAGTCTGACCGAAAGTGAAAGCTCAGATTGGACCGAACAAACTGATCAACTCAGTTTGAACCAACTGAGCTGTGAGGTGCGGAGGTCGGACTGGTTCCAACGACGAAGTCGGTCCGGGAGAGCCGTCCGGAGCAACAAGCAAAGCTGTCGACATGGACGACCAAAATGGTGCACCACGAGTTCGCAGTGCAAGGGAGATGACGAAACTGCATCCTACATTGGGAATCAGATGGAATGACTGATGGGTACCATGTTGCATGTGGTACCAGTGGTACCATGCTGCCACTCTTCGACCGGTCCTCCGGTCGGTCGTGTCCCGGACAGGGCACCAGAAACAGCTTGGAGGGTCCTGGTATGTTGCCCAGCTTCTTGGAATGAATAGAAAACAAGAGACCCGTTCCCACGAAAGCGTCTAGAAAACAGCAGCATCGACCAACAAATCTTAGACACATGAAGATCGACGATCTAGCAGGAGTGCAGGTGTTCCAAATTCATCCGATTTGGGAGATGTTGAACGAGCCCCTCCTCGGGTCCATTCTGCCCCGCAAAAAGCAAAAACCAAACCTTCCGCGCTCAAAGCGGCGGAGGCGGGCACTGACATGATGGTGCTTCTTTGAAGCTTCTCTTCCATCGTCATCTCCGGGAGTGACTCTTCCGAGCTCATGAGAGTATCTTGGAGCAACAACTGCCTCGGCTGAGCTGAACGGATCAAGTGCAAAGAATGATATCTGAGACCAAATTTTCTGACTTATTTCTGAAGCACAAGGAGGACATCGCACTGACTTAGGAGGTGAACAACAGCATCCTGGCAAATGTGAAGTGCCAAGGACAATGCCCAGCGTGGGGTCCAATTACCTCTTAATTTAGGATTACGTAGTGCATTATTATATATATATGCAGGTGAACAGCAAGCCATGCATTAAGTCATGTATGTCCAAATCGGTAGCCACCTTGACTCACTGGCCATCAAATTGCATCAAACAATCCAAAAACAAAAGGCTCAAAGTTCAAAGCCGATGGCCAAACTCAATAGGCGACTTCAGCTGGTACTCCGAACCTACCTACCGGCTCCAAACATGGAACGGTCGACAAGCGGCCTCAGGCTCGCAATCTTGTCATCGAACTTCTTGAGTATGAGTGCCTAGCGGCTGAGACATCCAACCAATTGAACAAAAACCTACAAAATCATGCAACATCAGCTTGTTCTCCTCCTCCCGCTCTCTCTCTCTCTCTCTGATTAATCTACTTTGAATACGAAGACCTG